AGATACAATCATTGTATCTCTCTCATTAAGTTATGTGATGAAATACATGATAAGAGAGAGACGTATGATTGTATGCAATCGTTGGTAAAACAAGTTTTCTCCAAAACAAAAAGGCACCACTGTATGCAACAATTCAATGAGACTGACATCCACGTCCTACTAAGTTAGAAAAATGAAATGGAAGCTCTATTTTTCAGTGGTGAGGGGAGGCAAAATAAGGCCAAGATGCAGCCACGCCTGTGGGAAATTAGGCAAAACGACCGTGGAGATAGGTAAGGGGGACAGTGAAAGCAACTCAAGGAGACACAGAAACTGTACAAGCAAAATGGGGCCGGGCATAAATAATATTAGCCTGTACTGTGTGTATATAAGTCTAGCACTTTGGCATTTTGTTCATGCATTTATGGGAACATGTGGTCTTAACCACCACCAGCTCTACCCCATTTAGCTGCACAGAGGAGGAGGAGGAAGAGGAGGCTGCCCTCGGCTCTCATTTCATCTCACACAGACCACCTCTCTTTTGGTTCTCATGATGAATCACACTTAAATGGCTCCACTCCACTCATACATTTTTATTCAAATCAATCATTCTTCCTTGTTTCCTTTCTCTTTTCGAATTTTTTTGCAATGTACTCTCTAGGGCTTTGAAATGATCGGTTTTTGCAAAAATATCAATAGCATAGTTTACAATGAATATTCCAATATAAATATTGATATCGCTCACTATCGACAAAAATATGATGAAAATTACCTTGGAATATAGTATGATGACCTTCTTATTATTCCATGAAATTTCAATTAGAATTTGAGTGACGTGATTTTTGAAATGGACGAATGTACATACTTCGGATAATTAAACTTTCCGGCAATCGAGGGTTATTTTCGTCCATTTTAGAGATATGCTAGTAGAAAACTAACAAATAATGTGACATATTTGACGGCAGAAGTGACATGTTTTAAAAGATTAGAGAGTTCAAAACCCTAAACCCTAAACCACTTAATGCTACGTAGCCTTTCATGTTCCTCTTATTTTTTATTTTTGGTAAATATTGTACTTCCTCTTATTCTTGAGGACAACAGAGAAGACACATAAATGAATTATGATGCAATCGGTCTGTACTATTTTTTAGGCATAAATGGAAATTTAACTTGGCCAGTACTAATTTTCTTTTCTTTTTTTCTTATTGGTCTGGACCAGTGCTATTTTATAAACTGGAATTTTAGGCGTCGGTCTTCATGCATACATGGAGAACAATGGAGAACAAGCTGACCTGAGGCTGAAAGACGACATATATGTGTGTAAGCCAATATCCTGCCTACCCTAACACGTCAAATTTAGCTTAAACTATATGCTAATATGGCGATTTATTGAATAGGCAAGCACTTTTTTTTTTTGTCGACGTTGAATGGACGTGTCTAAAATTGTGTTTGAGAGTTTGGGATTAATAGAGACAAGAACAACAATACGTTTGTTTAGTTTGTTTGAGTCGATGTTTGAAATAGAAAGGAATAATGCTTACAGTACGTAATTGCTTTTGCATGCCTCTGAAGGGGATTATTAAACTCATGGTAGAACTTATCTTTGTAATATTGATTTGCAAACGAAAGGCTATTACTAGGGTCTTTTAGGTAAAATTTTACAAAATGATTTTTGAAAACCTGTTTTGTAAAACGAAAACGACGAATCGGATTTTGCATTTTTTATTTATTTGAGACTGCGTTTGGTATTTTAGTCCAAGAATAATTTTAGAGAATGAAAATATTAAAAAGGCATGTGGTACCAAATGTCAAAAAAAAAATTATGTTTGGTAGTAATTGTGGTGGTGGTGATAGGATCGATGGTGTGGTTGAGACGAGAGTTGTGTTGTAGCAATGGTGGTTGGAGTAGTGGTAGTAGTGGTGAGAATGAAGATGTTAATAGTGGCGGCATTCAGGTGATGGCAATACCGGGGTAGAGGGCAATGGTGGAGGAGTGGTGCTGGTGGTGGTGGTAGAGGCGGCGACTATTGCAATGGTGGTAGAAGATGGTTGTGTTAACAATGGTTATGAGGGATGGTTGTGAAAATGGTGGTTGAGAGGTTGGGATGATAGCGGTAGAGATGGTAGAGGTGGTGGTGTTGTTAATGGTGGCAGTGGAGGTACAGGTGGTGGTGGCCATGGTGAGACAATGACGGTAATGTCAGTTGTGGCGATGATGAGACAGTGGAGGTGGTGGTGGCTATGGTGGCGAGGGTGATGGCGGTGGAGGATATGGTAGTGGAGACGATGGCTGGTGGGAGGTGGTAATGTCAAAGATGGTGGTTGTGGTGGTGGTGATGGTGAGACGATGAAGAATGTGGCGGTGGCGGCATTGGTGATGGTGGTGGTGGCATATATGATTTATTTATTAAAACTTTAACTTTGTTTTATAATTTCTTTTATTTTGAATTTTTTTTTATAAAAAAAAAAAGAGAAAACATATCAATTTGATGTCCTATAGAACTTATGCTAAATATTGTTTTGCATTTTTTTCGTTTCCGAGTTTATTTTTACAAAACAGTCTACCAAACACATTTTTCACCTATTTTTGTATCTAAAAAAACAAAAACTATTTTGCAAAATGTTAACAAACAAATCCTTACTTACTTTAAATCATAGAAGCAGTCATGAATGAAATCACATATAATTGTTCAGGTATGAAATAAACATACTCTTGTTGGGTGATCTAATACAAGGTATCTTATATATGAAATAACTTATTTTTTCAATGTGTGATTCACTTTTTTATTTCCTTATATGTTAGTAAACGCATGATATGTATAAGCAATCAAAATAATTTTTAATATACTATACATACTCATTCATGATAAGTATACCCGCCATACATATTATGATATTAAACTATCCTGACACTCCTTAGTATCAGGATTGAAGTCACTCTCAGCATTCCCATTTCGCAAAGGGTTAGAAATTTAGAAGTACTGGTCTAACTCATTTATGATTTACGTAGAGTTGCTCTAATACCATGTTAAACCCATGAGTAGAACTTCTTCTTCCAAAACCCTAAACTTAACAGTAAGTATGTAAAAGTTAACATTTTTCACTCTCAATACTATACACTTTAAAAGGGAGGACCAACAAATAGTAGAATATGATGCATTATTATTGATTAATGTCTAGAGCTGAATAAGATGGATGTCACATATACATACACACCTGTGAAATGTGGTTGGCATTTGGCAATATATTAGTAAAGAAAAAGAAAGAGGTAGCTCTCACTCTCAGGGTAGGATTTTCCCCCTCTTTTTTCCCCTCTCTTTCCCTCCCCTCCTATTTGAAAGGTCACGGTTAAACCATGTCAACATTTTATATTAATTTTATATAAAAAAAGAAAGACAAAATAAAGAATGTAAGAGGAAGGGAGGAAAAAAGATGGAAAGAGAAGGGGAGAGAATCCTAATCCCTCACTCTCAGCCTCTCACTGTCTCAGCTGTGTATCGAGAACATACAGAAAGGAAGATCAGATAGGCACACGTGTGCTGTGCTGGGGGGGGGTCGACATGCATGCATGAATGTTGGATTGGAAATATGGAGAGAGAGAGAAAGAAGACAAGCTTCTGTAGCTGTCTCTTTTGACTCTAATCCCTGGAAGGACGTTGTGCGTCCTTTTTATAGCCCCACTTTATAATTTGCAAGCCATGGAAATAGAACTGGGACTGGGACTTTTTCTGTTTGCTCTCTCTCTTTGGGATAAGGTCATGTCGTTCTGCCATGCTCAGAAAACGAAACAACATTCGACATGGGTCCTTCGTGCTTTCTCCATATATATTGCCTGTGGTTTTTGGGTGACTGATATGTGATATAATAAGGATGGGGTTTCGCCATTTTGGTCCATTCCGATGTCGATATTTATAGGCCACATAAATTATAGTGGGAGTCACATATTAAGCACAGTGTTTAGTCTTGACTAGATGGAATGGGGAGACTCATAATTTGTTGTCATTGCTTATGGAGATTGTTAGGTCACAATAATTTTACATCCTGTATTTGGAGTAGAAGTTTCATCGAGGTGAAATCCAAATATCTGCAAGGCCGTTTCTGAGACTTCGGGGGCCTATGCAGAAGTTATAAACGGGTCATTTTGCTCTTGTACCTTATTACATAATCTCACCAAAATTGTACTAAAACATTAAAAAATTATCATGTATTAGTATCATAATTAAAAGATTATATAACTAAAATTATGTGATCAATCAACAAAATCAGTAGTAAACATATAAAAGAAGCCATCAAACAAAATAAAATGAAGAATAATAGAGTAAAACACTAAACTTAAAGGCGTTATAAGTACTTGGTGCAGTAGTACTTACTCTTCACTTGTAAATGTTGGTCATAAGTTAGCCTCACCTTGATCACGAATTCAATGTCTAATTATTGTACCTTACAATTAACCCAAATCTCTACCTTCTGAACAAATATTTTTCCCATTTTAATTTTCTGATCAACAAAGCCCATATAATTTTAGTAGAGGAGGCCCAGTAGGGATTCACTCTCACAATGGACTAAACATTGGCGCGTTTTTGGGTCCAAAGGAAGCCCACGTAAACAAGCGGTGGGAGTGAAATTGGTCCAAATAAAATAAAGTCAAAACCGAGTCCTAACTACCACCCAACTAACTCCCAAAGCCCACTTAACATCCTGGCGACTCAGCCACGGAGCCTGCACTCTCAGGCACACAGGCCGCCTGATCCTCATCCAACGGTCACCGATCCCCCAATACACGTCACGACTTCCATTTCGAAGAACTCCCCAAACCTAACCAAAAGGAAAGAAATGAATCGAAGAAGAAAGGAAGCGTGACTCGGAAACCGCCGGATTTATCTCTCACACTCTCGGAACTGTACAAGCAGAGCAGCTCAGTAAAGATCGGACTATAGTCCAGTCCTGAGCGGGACAACAATCCGGATTAGATAGGTAGGATTAGATACAGAGAGAGAGAGAGAGAGTGAAGGAAGCTGAAAAGGCCGGGACACGATGATGCCGCCGGAGCTTCAACCGCGGTTCTTCCGTCCGTACATCACCGCTTCGGCGAGCACTTCCTCCTTCGGCAACGGCTCCACAAACCCTAGCTCCAGCCCCAACGACTCAATCTTCAACAATGGTGGCGGTGCTTCTAGATCTCTCAAGAATTCCCGATTCTCCCCCTCCTCCTTCGCCCACAACGCCCGAATCGCCGTCGCACTCGTCCCCTGCGCCGCATTCCTCCTCGACCTCGGCGGCACTCCGGTGATCGCAACCCTAACCTTAGGCCTCATGGTCTCCTACATCGTCGACGCCCTCAACTTGAAGTCCGGTGCCTTCTTCGGCGTCTGGCTCACCCTCGTCTTCTCCCAGATCGCCTTCTTCTTCAGCTCCTCCCTCCTCTCCACCTTCACCTCCTTCCCCCTTGCCGCCCTCGCCGCCTTCCTCTGCGCCGAGACCAATTTCCTCATCGGCGTCTGGGTTTCTCTCCAATTCAAGTGGATTCAAATCGAGAACCCCTCAATCGTTCTCTCGCTCGAGCGCCTCCTCTTCGCCTGTCTCCCGTTCGCCGCCTCCTCCCTCTTCACCTGGGCCACCATCTCCGCCGTCGGTATGACCAACGCTTCGTACTACCTCATGTCCTTCTCCTGCCTCTTCTATTACCTCTACTGCATTCCTCGCATTTCCTCTTTCAAAACCAAGCAGGACTCCAAGTACCACGGCGGGGAGGTCCCCGATGATAACCTCATCCTCACGCCATTGGAGGGATGCATCCACACTCTCTATCTCCTCTTCTTCCCTGTCCTCTTCCACATTGCCTCTCACTACAACGTCATTTTCGCTTCCCCAGCCGCAGTTTCCGATCTATTTCTCCTCTTCTTCATTCCATTTCTCTTCCAGCTCTATGCCTCAACCCGGGGCGCGCTTTGGTGGGTCACGAAGAACCCAAACCAATTGCGCGGCATCCAGGTGATGAATGGCGCTGTTGCATTGGTTGTTGTGGTGATATGTTTGGAGATTAGAGTCGTTTTCCATTCGTTTGGGCGGTACATTCAGGTGCCTCCGCCGTTGAATTACCTTTTGGTGACCACTGCAATGCTCGGAGGTGCATCTGGAGCGAGTGCTTATGCGTTGGGTATGATATCTGATGCCTTCAGCTCCGTGGCTTTCACTGCTTTGGCTGTTGTGGTTAGTGCTGCGGGAGCTATCGTTGTCGGGTTTCCTGTATTGGTATGCAATTCTACTTCCTAACATTTTTTTTTCTCCATGTCTTTTATCTACACACGGATTTTTTTAGCAAAGTCTAAATGGTGTCTACCCTATTGAAAATTAGTCTGCAGCATCTATGGCTAGATAAGACTGTTTCTATTCATTAACACTTCCGCTCTACTTTAATATTTGTCGAACATACTGCTTTCTGCTTTTAGATTGTATGAGCTTACGTTGTGCTTGTGCTTCATGTTTGGTTAGAGCTGAAATCACCAGTAGTGCATCAATTTAATCTGTTCTTATTCAATCTTTGAACATTACTGAAAATGAAGTGTTGGCTAGAGTGTTTCATTGCTATGTCAAATGCCGGTTACCTTTTCTGGTGGTATAATCTTACCAATTCAAGGATAGTAATGTGTTGTAGGCAAAGTTCTCCAAACTGAACGTGTATTAGGCGTGTAATTGGAATGTTGAATAAATGAGTTTATTGCATTATGATGTGCCTTTGAACTCTAATTTGAATGTTGAACTAGCAATGATCATTGGTTATCCTTTGTGTTGCAGTTCATTCCGCTGCCTTCAGTTGCTGGTTTCTATTTGGCTCGATTTTTCACAAAGAAGAGTGTTTCATCATACTTTGCTTTTGTTGTTCTTGGAAGCTTGATGATGACATGGTTTGTAATACATAATTTCTGGGATCTAAATATTTGGATGGCAGGAATGTCCCTGAAATCCTTCTGCAAACTCGTAATTGTGAATGTTGTCTTGGCTATGTCTATTCCTGGTCTAGTTCTACTTCCTTCAAAGCTTCACTTTTTGATAGAGATTGGATTAATCGGCCATGCAATTCTCGTTTGCCACATTGAGAATCGATTTTTTAATTACTCTGGCATATACTATTATGGGTTTGAGGAAGATGTAATGTACCCAAGCTACATGGTTATTGTGACAACATTTGTGGGTTTAGCTTTGGTGAAAAGGCTGTCTGTTGATCGTCGTATTGGTGGAAAGGCTGTTTGGATTTTGACGTGCTTGTATTCAGCTAAGCTGGCTATGTTGCTTATGTCATCAAAGTCTGTCGTATGGGTGTCAGCTATTCTATTATTGACTGTAACACCACCATTGCTACTTTACAAGTACTAACTCTATTTTGCTTGATGTTTTGTTTTTCATAAGTCTTTATATGTAAAGCATCTACCTTACTAATTCATTGCTTGCTGTGATTTCTAGGGATAAGTCAAGAACAGCCTCAAAGATGAAAGCTTGGCAAGGATATGCACATGCAGGTGTGGTTTCCTTATCAGTCTGGTTTTGCCGTGAAACAATCTTTGAAGCCCTCCAGTGGTGGAATGGAAGACCCCCATCTGATGGCTTACTCTTGGGTTTCTGTATTGTTTTGATGGGCTTGGCTTGTGTACCCATTGTGGCTCTCCACTTCTCTCATGTCTTGGTATACCATACTTTATTTCTTGACTTTTCTCCCAGTATCTTTTGCACATAACCTGTTCGCATAGATATGGAAATCAAAGAAAAAGCACATAAATTGATATTCTACCTAAAGTTTTGGGCAGCTATGTAGTTTTCATTCCCCGTTCAGAATTTATGCATAAGCCTTTAATGTGTGATTTATCACGTTAATCATTCGTATTGATTCTGCATATCTTCTCATAGTACTACTGACTGTAGAAATCCAGAATTTTAAACTGAACTGAGTAGTACAGTTTTCTTAATCAGTTGCGATGTTAATTAGGTGAACTGATACCATTATCTGAGACTGATACTAAGCTGTTCAAGAACTTTAAAGCACTTTATGAAGAGAACTCAATCATTTTTTCAAACCTGGCTAAGTTCATGAATCTTTTTATGTAGCATTATCTAATCAATTATGTTCATCGTGCTAACTGATCATTTTTTACATTTTTGTGCAGTCTGCCAAGAGATGCCTAGTGCTGGTGGTGGCAACTGGATTGTTGTTTATCCTTATGCAACCACCTATTCCAGTATCATGGACATACCGGTCTGACCTAATTAAAGCTGCTCGGCAGACTGCTGATGACATCACCATATATGGCTTTGTGGCGCAAAAACCTTTGTGGCCATCATGGCTTCTTCTTATGGCAATCCTACTGACTCTAGCAGCTGTTACATCTGTCATACCTATTAAATACATGGTTGAGTTGAGAGTATTTTACTCCATAGCTATGGGTATTGCTCTAGGTGTCTACATATCTACCGAGTACTTCCTTCAGACAGCTTTCTTACATATCCTTATTGTTGTAACCATGGTCTCTGCCTCGGTGTTTGTGGTTTTCACCCATTTTCCATCTGCCTCGAGTACGAAGCTGCTTCCTTGGGTATTTGCTTTACTCGTAGCTCTCTTTCCTGTGACATATCTTTTGGAGGGCCAAGTGAGGGTTAAAAACATCCTTGGAGATAGTGAATTTGGAGATTTGGGTGAAGAAGAGAAGAAGCTCACAACTCTATTTGCTGTTGAGGGGGCAAGGACATCTCTTCTCGGTCTTTATGCAGCAATATTTATGCTAATAGCTCTGGAGATAAAGTTTGAAATTGCGTCATTGATGAGGGAAAAGGCTACTGAAAGGCCTGGAATCAGGCATAGTCAATCTGGTCAAAGCACCTCTACTAGCTTTGCTTCGAGAATGAGATTTATGCAACAGCGCCGAGCTGCAAGTGTCTCATCATTCACAATTACGAAAATGGCTGCTGAGGGAGCCTGGATGCCAGCAGTTGGTAACGTTGCCACTGTGATGTGCTTTGCTATATGCCTCATCTTGAATGTCAATCTCACAGGCGGCTCAAATGGTGCGATATTCTTCCTGGCACCAATTTTGCTACTGCTCAACCAGGACTCTGATTTTATTGCCGGATTTGGTGACAAGCAAAGGTATTTCCCTGTCACAGTAGTGATATCGGCCTACCTAGTCCTGACTGGCCTCTACAGCATATGGGAAGATGTCTGGCATGGGAATGCGGGTTGGGGTTTGGAAATTGGTGGTCCAGATTGGTTCTTTGCGGTGAAGAATTTGGCTCTCCTCATTCTTACATTCCCGAGCCATATCCTTTTCAACAGGTTTATGTGGAGTTTCACAAAACAGGCGGACTCAATGCCATTGATAACTATGCCCCTTAATCTGCCATCGATCATAATAACAGACTTGCTGAAGATTAGGATATTAGGGCTCTTAGGAATCATATATTCCCTGGCCCAGTACCTATTATCTAGACAACAGTACATCTCAGGGTTGAGGTATATTTAGACGAACGCATACTTCTGTACAGTATGTTTCAGCAATTTTCAGGTCAGGAGTGAAATTCAGGTTTGTTTCTCATTTCTCTCACTTGTTTGTACTTATCCTTTGAGCTTTTGCATGCCCTGAAATGCCTGAACTGTCGACCGCCTTTTGAATCATCACGACAAGTCATTACAGCAAAGACCTTTTGAGCATACAAGATAACCTTCTGAGCAAGTTGATGGCATTTAGAATGATAAAATGACGGGGGATATTTGCCTCAAATTGCCTGCTTGAGTAAACTGTGATATTGTGCACTGCTGTCGTCTCCGGTAGTAAGAACTTGTTATATGATACCGTGCAATTTTTTACATTTGAGTAGTTAGAGATCTGTCAATGCTGGTGAACTGTTTCACATTTTTGTAGGCTTATGATTAATATTATGTTGTAAAATCAATGACCTCATTTGTAGGCTTATATGATAACCCGCTAAATTCAAGCTTATATGTTTTCTAAGTTTTTCGAACCCAAGGGGCGCCTTGAATGAGAAAAAGTTTAGTACCATACAAGTCTTCAAATTTCTGTAGCATTTCAGACACAAATCTAAGTTTTCAGATTGAACCATGATTTTTCAATTAACAAGTTGGTACACCCGTCCCTTGAGCTACTCCGATTCTGGTCTCGAGTCTGAAAAAGAAATTTTTGTTAAAACACGATCGGCATAGGGTCCAAGGGAAACGAAAAACAAAAAAGCCAGATTTGGAATCATAATCTTACAGTCTCGGTTTGCCCATCCTAATCGTCGACTGAGCTAATCAATTTGATTTCATGGAGGCTACTGTCGCCAGAAAAATGTGGTGTTTTCGTGTTCATGTAAAGATTTTCTTCTGTCTGCGGCCATTTAGACGCAGCAGAAGAGGAGGAAGAGGAGGAAAACTGAAGCTGGAGAGAGCTGCAGGGGTTAATGAGCAACTTATAAATCAAGTTGTGCGCCTATTTGTACACAAAGTTCATGGCTGTGGTTATGGCGAGATAAATGTTTCGACTACCCTGAAATCTCAGTATTGACATTTACAATTTTAACTCTGAGACTCAACCTTTTGGTCTACTTACCTTCGTAAATAGTATCTCAGTTGGTTAAAAACATTTCCTTCTTGTATTTTGAGGTCTTGAGTTTTGTTCTCTTCTGATATTGGTTATTCAGAAAAAAGAAAATATTGCTTGTTCGGAAAAATATGAGTATAAAACTATTTAAACACATAAAACTAACACGCTTTTAAAATAAGTAGGATCAATATAGCCTGCATTAATAATTGAGTTTAATATCATCACACATTGATACACGTATAATTAAAGGCAGTGCTATTGACACACTTCTTTTTACCTCTCATATAATTAAATGGCAATGTTATTGACACACCTCTTTTTACCTATCATACGCCCTTATTATTTTTGTCTATTGATCTTGTTCAATCCATTAGATCCGACGGCGAAAAATTTAAAGATGTGTGCGAGATATAAAAATCGGTGTATATGAATAGCACCACCTTAATTAAAATCAATCTATGTGTCACTAGTCTCATCTAAAGTAATATTCCATTGGGGGTAAATTATATATATACTAAACGCCTAACTTTCTAGTTAATTCCCTTTGTGTCCTTTCAATGTTCCTTCACTAAGTGTTGTTCCAATTTTGCCCTTCAGTTGTTCTTTAAGTCTTACTTTTTTGGTAAATTACACAGTAAAATGATGGTTTTGACCCTGGATTGCCAATAGAAGTCTCTCGACTCCTTCCTCAGAAACGAAATCCAAAAAGGAAAAACTGTGCTCTGCAACACAATTGACAATTTCGATTCCGCTTTGTGGATGCCTCTGGAACTCTCCAGTATGATCTAATTTAAGGGGTAATTGCCAAAGACAGGATCTGCTGAATTGTTTGACAACTTTGGTTGCAGAACTTTTGCAAGTATATAGTGTCGTTTTTCTTCCTTGAAGAGAATCGTTTCGAATTATTTGGATTTGAGAACACCGATACATAAGTGTGAAACGATCAATCATGCATTCAAAGAATTTCTACGAAATATGAATGATTACTTATATTTACGAAACTATTATTGATTCTTCAAAATGATTATTTTGCACTTCATAAATATAAAAACAAATAAAAGAAAATTATACACGAAGGTGTACAATACGACTATTTTAGAGTATTGTCGAAAACAACTCCTTAGATATACATATAATATATGACTAATTTCTTTATAATCTCATGATGTTTGATCATGCGTGGTAGTTCTACTGAAGATTTTCATTATACAAAAGGGTTTTTGAGGGCTCGTTTGACGTCTAGGACCAAAATTCAAGTGTGTTATCCAAGAATGTTTTTCTAAGTGGCTAAAACTTTGATTAACTACTCAAGTGTTCTATCACACAAGGTTTTAGATGAACATTTTAAAGATGTTCTCTAGATGATAATAAAGTGAACACTTCAATTAATAATACTTGTACGGTAAAATGACTTTTTGTCATCATGTAAAAAGATTAGATAAGAGAATAAACGATTTAACTTAGGCTTATTATATTAACACCCCACAAATTATTGAATAAAGCCCACATACTTAATACACCTCACATTTGCTTTTTCAATGAAAAATTATCCTAATACATCCCACATACTTTCCCATAATACCCTCACACCACACATTCTTAATATACACCTAACATTTTCTGCATGCACCTCATATTTCCTATACACCCCACATTTCTCAAATCTTATAAAGCTTTTAATATGGACAAAAATGCCGATTGAAATTTTGACAAAAGGTGCCGCCTAGGATTTAAAGCATATGTGAGTTGTTTTCAATTCCACCACTAAAACTCATGTCGTATGCTTTTAATATTTGGTGGTAATTTTAGATGTTTAATTCTTCTTGTAATCTTTGTGATCCCTAAAAGATGAATACGAACATAGAAGCTTGAATAACGCAGCAAAAGTAAGATTAAATAATTATCGATGTCATCAAATCACTAAAACAATAAAGAATATGAAGTCTTACCTCATGTGAAGCTTCCGAAACATCGATTTCGTGTTTCATTTGTTAAAAATAATTTTTGTCAATCAACTTGTTTGTAGTTTCATTGGTTAGGATTTTGTTCAACAATGGAGGGTCGGAAGGATTTTAATAGTTGAAGAAGATAAATAATACATTAAAAGTAATTTGGGGTGTATTTAGATTTTTTTTTTTTAACCTAATAAGGTCAAAATTGCCATTGCATAGTAGGATAAATAAATCATTTAATATTAAATTTTAATGTGGGATGCATTCAACATTTTGTAAGGTACTAATATAAAAAGCTTTAACTTATAACGTATGTACAATCAAATAACAACACTTGGTTATGTAAAGATGATTGAAAGAATAGCTCCTTACATAAGTATTATCCCATTTTAATCGTTGAGTTTGCATACTCGCACAACCGTTTACTCATGCAAAAAAAATGCGCGGAGAGAATTTACATATTAGCTTATGCTCACAAGTTTTGAGACTGCAACTTCTCAGGCCCAATGGGCTTTAGAGTGCATGCTCACTTTGGCCATCACTAGTGATAGTAAGAGCCACTTGGCCTCGCCTTACGACCACCCGCACGCGTCCACGTTTTAAACCCTCACCGCAAAATCCAGCTACCAACGACAATGGCTTCACTGCCCAAACCCATCACCGCTGTCCCCATCTTCATCCTTCTCGCCGCCTCTCTCAGCCGCACACTGCCGTCATCAGAGGACCCAGTTCCCGCCTCATAGTTAATGAATTATTTGTCAAATGATTATATTAGAACGTGATGTGCTTTGTTACTAGTATGGGTGGCTCTTTTTCCTTCCTCAGGTTTTTCCCATGTGGTTTACCCGGGACGAGGTTTTTTCAAAGCCACATTCTTTTCCATGCTCTTTCTACGCCCAAGTTTGGTACTGAGGTGATTCTGAAAAAAAAAAAAAACTAGCTATAAAAAAAAATTGGGAGCTTTTTTATGGTTGGTAAACATTCAGCTTCATTTTTTTTTCACAGTTTTAGATAAAAAAAAGCCAAAAACACAAAGCTGCAAAACCCAGCTTTGAAAAATCAGCTTTTTTTTAACATATGTTTTACATAAAAGTTTATCAAACACTATAACACTGCTTTTTTTTTTCTTTTCAAAAGCACTTTTACAAAAAAATTTACCAAACAATCAGCTACTTTATTTCACAGTTGCTTATTCTCACAGCACAACAGAAGCAGTTTTTTTTCAATGCATAGTAATGCCAAACCAGTCCTACATCAGTTATTTTTGTTTATTAAAAATGAGATTCTTTGTTACATTAAAAAAATTGCGAAAAACATGAAAATTTCTGACGGATGTCGACAGAAGTACTATGTCGTAAACGAGTTGGTTTAGGATTGAGTAATTTGACATGACTAATTTAACACAACCCGATTCTACACAAGTTTTATGCATTCCAATATTTGACAATTGAGACTTGAGTTTACAAAATTGAACAAATCAAACTAGTTTTTATGTTGTTATAGTATTGTCTATTGTGCCTTTGCCTGTTCCGTTCCATGAAGTTCCGAAGTATTATATTGTTTAGGAACGCAAATAATTTTATTTGTTGGTGAACAATGCCAATAATTTGGTTTACCAAAACCGAGATTCTGATGCAAAACATTAACCCATCTACTTTAATCATATTTTGTAGATCACATGATATGATAATTGATGATTGAATTTCTTGTTTAAATTATGAGAAATGCTAAAAAGACTCTCTCAGTGTGGGACTCTCTATGGACTCTCCACTACCTCATTATTTTAGTACATTGTTTTGTAATATTGGCACGAGAATTCTGCCAAAAAAAATGAGATGGTTGAGAGTCAATGGAGAGTCTCACTTTTGAGAGTCTTCTTAGCAAGCAGATATTCAACTATCAACCGACACATTATATGGTCTTCAAAATAAGGTCTTAAAACATAATCTCCCAAGCATTTTTTTTATCAATGCAAGTGTTTTTCAATTATTGTTTTGTTATTTTTGTCTATAATTAGTTGGTTTTTTTACAAGTATATGATAGTCGAACTAAAATTTGAAATTACGAGGAGGAAGATTTGAATTTCAAACTTGTGTGCATATACACAGTTAGATTATAAAAATATTGAATTGTTATTAGCATTTCAAACAAGTTATCATGCACTTATTTGTTTTGAGAAATTATATTCACATTTTCTAAATTACTTCTCACACTTTTTTATTTTTTAAATATTTTTGACACAATACTAACACTTGATAAAAAAATATTATAAAATTAAAAAAGTATTGAGAAATAATTTAGAGCGTGCGAATATAATCTTTATGTTTTTTTTTGGTCAATCAATTATCTTATACTCCAAAAAGTAATCATAGACTTTTCACTATCTTATTCCACATAAGAGTTACAGAAACACTACCCGAACGATTAAGGGTGTGTGCAATTACCACCAAAATAAATAATAAAAAACCGTTCCAATTTACTATTCAAAGTTTCAAACTAATGTTTTAGTTTAAAAGATACATCATAGACTTAAGACTTTGTATGGAAGTGTTTATTTTTTATTTTTGGAGTACATTGATATTTTTATATTAAGGGGAGAGGAAGTTCGACTAAGCCACACAATGGATAGCCTAATTTGGTATTGAATTCGTCATCTACGAGATTCAAACCTAAGACATCTCCCTTCTAGATAGAAAGGAATACAACCAGACTGTAGTAATGAATAACTATATGAAAGTACTTTTAAAATGACTGAAAATATTTTTCGTGAAAAAATGTTTAAAGTTAGTTAAAGTCCTTTTATAACCTAAAATTAATCTCACCAAAAACATCAGCAATCATTTTAAAAATACTTCCATGTTGTGAGTCAATTTTAGTTCTATTTTATTCCCGAAAATTCAAAATCGCCACCATATTTGAACTTGGATCCTCTCATGAGCTAATGGAGAGGATCCTCCTCATCAATCATCTTAGGCCGTTGGATTTTTATCCAACGGCTACAAATAAGGAGTCCCTTTAAAGTTATAATGATTATAGCCATTAGATAAAAATCTAACGACCCAGGATGATTGATGAGGAGTATCCTCTCTATTAGCACTCTGATCCAAATCCACTATATTTGATGTGTGTACAGAATAGAATAATACTAAAGAGTAAAGAAAGAGCTTCCATACCGCTGTGATCCCTTCAAGCTCTGAGCCCACCACACTCCTCAAACTTCCCTTCCCAAAACCAGGAAACCCCTCCGTGGACTCGACTCCCCTCAAGTCTCCGTCTTCCTCAACCCCTTCCTTCCTTCCCCTCAAGTCTCCGTCTTCCTCAACCCCTTCCTTCCTTCCCCCTTCTCATCACACGATCGTCATCGCAATTTCAATCCTCATCCACTAACGCAGCGCGAGGTATGTCAGAATCTACACTCCAAATTCCACCTCTAAATTTTCAACATTTTCTTGATTTTCCCAATTGGAAAACCCTAGAAATTTATGGGATTTCACTGTAATTCTTCAAATCCTTTGCACAATGTTAGTTATGTAAATATATAAATTCGTTTTTTCAGCTGAAAGTGTAAGTCTTGGTCATGGTAATTGTCAAAAATCGATGCTGTTTTCTTTTATGTTATGTAATTACATTGGGGTCTCTGCTTATGCATATGGGTTCTTCTGGGAGTGTCTCGATTGGGCTCTCAGCAACATAAAGTATCGATTTCTGTCTGCAGGAACTCAAATTTTGACTATTTTGTATATATTGTTGGAAATGCAGAGATGGGTGCTCTTTGCTGCTGTCCTTGCGGCGAGGAATTCGAAGAGTACGCGCTGCCGAGCAATTCAATATACAGGCATTGCTCATGCCTGAGATACTTCTTCCACCAGCTATTCACTGGGGTAGGTATAAATGCCATGATCAACTCAATACTTTTTATCAGTCCCTCCATTTGGTAGCTCTCTTAAGTCTAAAGCTAGGAAATTTACGTAGTTTTCTATCACTGGATGCATTTGGTTTTATCAATGTTTTGGATTTATTGTTTGAAAAGAAAGGGCAGTGGACCATAAATTGGCATGCCAATTGGAAACTGAGGAGCATGATGCAACTAAACAAATCCGTCTACATTACTTCTAAAACTTGTAATGTTAATGATGGCTACAAAGTAAACTGTCGAAATCATGTATCACTTTTAATTTTGGGCCAACATATTTGAATAGAAAGAGATTTTTAAAGTTATTGTTAAATGAAAATGTTCTTTCCAAAATGCTTAGCTTTTATGAAGATAATCCCAAGAAGATCCATGGGTTTGATTCACTTTAGTATTTATAATTCTTATTTGTTTGCATGTCCCCATGCTCATGCAGTATAGCGCACCATTTCAAAGGCTTGATGGACGAGCACCTTCATTACCTATTCAAGGGGCTACTTTGGCATCATCCGGAGTAGGCACAACGCTACAGAATAATCCCTTGAATGATACTCAGCTCTCAGTTTCCAGGCCAACCCCCTTCGATGCTGATCAGAGATACTCGCATTTGCAGCGTGATGGCTTGGTCTCAAGGCGTGAGAAGTCAATGACTCATTTGCAAGAAGATACACAACAACTGAGAAGGGGCAGTTCTGGCACCGAATCCCTGGGTTTTGGGAAGAAATGGAATGGAGATGATACGGAAGAAGATTGTACGTTTGGCCAATCCGAGACCTCGGAAAAGGCTTTGGCAACAAAACTCGCATATGGACTAACTTACGTGCAACCGTCTTCTGAAGATGAAGATGTCTGCCCTACATGTCTGGATGGTAAGTTAAATGTGCAATTGTCAGTGTAGCTAACAACCAATGGGCATCACTAGAATATGGATTAAGATATTAATTGTCCAGTGATAATACATTGATGCTGTAAACTAGCATCTTTCTTCTATGGTTCTTTGCTGTGTGCTTAGTTGATATATATATATATATATATATTTTTTTTGCAGAATACACTTCAGAAAATCCAAAAATCATAACGAGATGTTCTCATCATTTTCACCTTGGCTGTATTTATGAATGGTTGGAAAGAAGCGAAAGCTGTCCAATTTGTGGCAAGGTAAGCTGGACCATGAAATTTATTTTTTAGATCAAAATTGTATCGCTTATTAGTTGCCCTAGCCTTGGAATTTTGCATGGTGTTGTTTTGCAGCAGTTCTCACATTATCTAAATTAAGAGTAAACTTACCGAGTAGTAGTTCATACTTTTAACTGTTAGTTTCTGGAATTTCAGGAGATGGAGTTCTGTGAAAGCCCTTAACTTTTCTGTCTGATTGCAAAGCAATATAACAAATATATATAAATATGGACTACGAGTTTCTGTAAATAAAAGTTAGTCTTGTTTCTAAAGGGTTGCAGAGAGGGAAGCAATTGTTCATTTTGTGTAACTAGTTGTAATACTTTGTGTTTCTTGATGCTTTGTGTTTGATTACTTCATCTTACTTCTTGTATAGATCTCCACAGATCAGTGTGTAAACATGTTTAATGATTGTAAAAATAATTGTTATTAAAACGTTCTGAAATGGCGCAACACCATCCTATTCTCTCTTGTTTGTACCGCTTCTGATAGAAACATCTCACGCCGAAAATAATTTCTAGGCAAGTTTTACATTGCTGAACACAAACTACAACTCTTTTTCGCTTAACGCTTGCTTACAAGTAAATTTGAGTTACTCTTTCTGTCTTCTACTAAATGCAAAATCAAAAGGTTGGAATATCATAAGAGAATAGAACTTCATGCTATCCACTGAGGGGTTGTTCCTTTATGTTGGGTAGAGCCTCCTTCTCCATCTGGACCACCTGCTCCGTCCTGTACTCGTACCGATGTGCGCAGTACAGAAAAACGCCGAAATTGATCACGCTCAAGACAGTCAGCAGCCAGTAGAAATAATCAAATCTTCCTGTGTTGATATTCTGGGACAGCCAAGACGGCTTCTCTGAGCTTCCGGTGATGTTTTTGATGATGCTGTTCAATATACTGGCTGCAAAGCAACCTAAACCGCCGGCAAGAGCAGCGTAAGCAGATCCAATACTCTTCATTGCATCTGGAGCTTCTTCGTACAGAAATTCTAGTAATCCCACCACGCAAAACACCTCAGCTATCCCAATGAGGCAGTACTGGATCAACAACCAGTATGCACTTAGGTTGGGCATTGCACTTAAGAAACTAGCCTCGTATCCCTGCCGTATCGCATAATTCCTTCGGTACCTTTCGAAAATTGCCGCCCACGCCACAGATAGGATTGAAACGGCCAGGCCTATCCCCACTCTCTGAAGTTGAGAAGCACCGTGGGGATGGCCGGTGATGCGCCTGGACAGTGGGACAAATGTAGAGTAGTAGAGGGACAGTATGAGAAAGATACTGAGGCCAGGAAACACTGGCATGCATGTTACAGGGAGTTTCAGTTTACCCATATGGGTGTTTAAAGTGTATGCCTGCTGCACTGAGAGAGTGAGATATTCTGTCAAAAGTACACTGAGCATTATTGTGCACGCCGGGATTGGAATAAGTTTCAACAAGATCTTCACTTCCTCTACTTGTGTCACAGTGCATAGCCTCCAGGGACCAGGGTCTGCGCTTTCTTCCTTTAACTGCAGAGCTGCTTTGTCCAAACATCTGTAACACGAAAGACATCAGATGTTCTAGAATCGAAGAGAAAAGAACGAAAAACAGGATTAGAACGGAGCAAAAAGTAGACAAAAATATACCTAAAGTCGTCGGTGTGAGCTATCTTTCCACTACCCTTCACAGCAGATTGTTTTCCAGGAACCTCATACAAGCCTATCAACTCACTTCTGGAAAATTTGGCTTTCCTCTTCTTGTAGGCAGCAACCAAAACTTGAGCAACACGCGTTAGAGGGCTCCCTCCGGGAAGTCTATGGCGGTATAGAGGGGTACCGAGAAAGAAGACCATGTTTGATATGCCCATAGCCAATGCCAGTGACCCGAACGCGAATCCCCAACCAAGTTTCATTTGGACGTAGACTACTGCAGTGAAGGCGATGATCGCCCCGATGGTGACAGAGAGATAAAAGAAGTTGAAAAACCTATCCAGGTGAGACTTGTAATCGCTACTTCTTTCGTCGAACTGGTCAGCCCCGAAAGAAGAAACGCATGGCCTTATGCCAGCAGCTCCGAATCCAGTTACGTACAGAACCGCATAGAGGTAAATCATCTGCCACGGTTTTGCAGGCTCACAATTGCCCACAAGGAGGGCTAGCTCGGAGCATTGATCTTGGTTTGGCACCAAAGTGTGCACCGTTGCACATAAGGTTATTCCTGTCAAACCCTCCATGAAAATAAATGGAGAAAGAAAAATGTGGAAGTTATCAGCTCATCTATAAGCTTATGATTAGTAAACTAATTAGTTTTTGGTTAACATTTCGTATGTTCGTGTATGGATATACCTACCAGAAGATAGATAGTTGTGAAGATTGCTATTGTCCAATATCGACCAAGATACGCATCAGCCAGAAAACCGCCAAGGACAGAGGAAGCTTGCGAAATCCCGAGAAAATTGTTCACTGCACTTGATGAACTGCTGAAGGGTCTATGCATAACATAAAACATGAAGGCCACCATGTTAATCGAGAGACCGAAATACGCCATTCTCTCCGCCATTTCATTTCCTGGACAAGTTACAAGTAAACTATACTACTAATCTAAACAAATTCCGTTATATGAAGAGCTGCATAGAAGCCAAATGTGAAAATACATTACAAAATACAATGTTTACCGAATATGAAGAAGGCAGCAAACCAACCGCCGGTTTTCGAAAGATCAGCAATAGGTTTTCCATGGATGTCAACCGGTGTGGTTCCTCCAGTATAACCCCGTCCAAAAGCCGTCCGCCTGTCATCGGATTCGATGAAGTAAAGCCCAAGTTTCTTTCTCTCCTCTGAGTCTGGATTTCCATCTAAACTAACTGGTGTCATTGTCCCTCCTTCAGGGGACTTGATTTCTCCAGTTGCCATTGGTTAACTCCCTGCAGAAATCTCCCAAAACTACAAGAGTTTTATTTTTGTATGCTATATATACAGTGAGTAGAAAATTAAGATTGAAAAAAATCACAATTTCTTCAAACCTAAATACTAAATTTCTAGTGGAGTGGATCATATCGTCAAATAAGCGGATATTCTTGGGTGTCGCCTATTGTGTACAACCATGTTTGTCTCTCTCGTCACGTAATTCAAAAATACGTACATGATTATATACAACTAGTGATATGACAGATTTTCTATGTATAGAGGCGTATATACAACAAACAATTGAAACAAAAGGAACAAACAAACTTGCTGTCCAAAAGAATCACACACAAAGTGGCTCTTAAGTTAATCACACCAATTTGATGCACAACCTATATAGAATGAAAAAAATTTAAAAACAAAGAAAGAACACACTCCTACATACTAATAAGAATCATAAACATAATTAGCTGAGTTTAATCCTCACCGTTAAATTGCTAATTGAAGAGCATCTTTAAACCAAGTAGGAAAAAAATTGATCTTTTGAGAGGTTGGTTAGCGACTGATAAGATTTCTAAGACGATTTAAAGGAGATCCAACCAGCACGGGAAGATCCATAGAAGTGGATCCAACGGCAGTAAATGGTACAAAGAAATACTAACCCCCTCAAAAAAAATACAGAGGCGGGCATTAAATGGCCAACCGTGTTGGAGGTTGGGTGTGCAGAAAAACCAATACTTGCTGCTGAATGATCAAACGCCACCGTACAGTTGAATTTTTCGGAATCTGATCAACACACCCCATAACTTTGAGCATAAAAATATGGGTGGGAATTGATGTCCTTCTGAGGTTCTTATGTTAGATGGTTGAATGCCGTATGCTGTGCTATGTTCCGTACAGAGACACCAAGATGATAATGTCGGTGTTTAACTCAGCCACATGCTTTTGTGTTGTTTTTTTTTTTCTTCCCGTAGCTACTGTAGTTTTTTCGTTCCAGGTAAGTTATTCTCGTATTTTTTAATGAGATTAAGTGGATTTAATACCGTCCACATGTGTTGGGCAAGTATCACTCACTTTGACTAAATTTGTCGATGATGACATTACGGAAGAAAAGAACGAATGGTGGAGGATGGAAATTGGACGATGGGTTTGAAAGATTGATGTGCTTCTTGCACTAACAACTGTGGTCTATTAACGAAGAGAAGAAAAAAATGCGTGATGGGATGATTCATTGATTTTGGAAGCAACCAATAATAGTATATAAAATTGACTTGTGATAATTTGATGTGACATTAATTAATTTTTCTTATCTGTAATGATAACGATTGAAAAATTAAATTACAATTAGATGCATACAAATAATGTTTAATATTTTTTAATTGTAACAATAAAAATGAATTGAACTCTGTAATAAGACAACATTTTGTGGTAACTACAAAAATATAGACTCTCGATTGTACGGTACAATCTCTTGTCAAATAAGCATGTTGATTTTAAAATCATTACTACATAGATATTCTGGGGAGAATGTGATTTTTGGGTAAGTGATATATAGACCAAGCCAAGCCATAAAGCAACCTGCTACTCAAGCAGGAATTGAACGAGGATGTTTGCTGGATTCTCTTTATGAGGATTCAAGATCATTCAATTACATTCATTCATTGTATATCGTGCGGTCGTAAATCATTGTAAATATTTTTATTTAAAATTGAGTATAAACATTGTTAAAAAAAAAAATTGAATATAAACAGTACCTGACGAAAACTAATCGTACAGTATACAATAAACGGATGTGATTGGAGGATCCGCAGGATCCTCTCTCATAAATGAAGCCATATCAAAGTATGACAACAACAATAGCGGATCCTCTCTCATAAATGAAGCCATATCAAAGTATGACAACAACAATAGGAACATTTTTACTCACCATCATAATTATGATGTATGTTCATCATATATCCAGTTATATGTTACGTGTTTTTTCAATTAACTTTAGTTTTTTTTTAATTATAATTGAGTTGTGATAATTCGATGTGACATCAACTAGTATTTCTTAATTACAGTGGCAGTGGGATTGCAAAGCCTGCCTCCCCCTCTCCCCCAAGCAATTCACTCCAGCCCACTCCGAAGGGTTGGGCTTTAGGTGAGCTCGAGCTGTCCACCAGCCGGAAATTCACGGATCCAGCCCCCCGGCTAGTGATGCAAGGTTGACATCTTAATGACGCCAGTCATTAATAAAAAATATAAAAAATTAATTAAACATATAAAAATTATAAAATAATTATAATTTCTTTTTCTATAAATACTTAACCATATTATTCCACCTTACCATGCTTACACCACATTTTAATATTTTCAACCAATTTTTTTAGAGTGCTGTTAAACTCACCCCATTGACCTATTTCCCCACCCACCTGTTAATGAAAATTTTAATGACATATTTATCCTTTTATCAAAAGACTTTTAAACCTCTATGTGGTCTTACGTAGCAGTCAACGCTACTATTTTTGTAATCGCCACAATTGAGTGGATTTGATCATACGACTGGCAAAATAAGAGAAAACGGGGTGACCTGCCACTAACAAGTAATCACCTCCCATCGTCCTCGACGACACCGATATGCAAAAGTGGATATTGGTAAGGCCTGAATTTGAGGCAGGTGTGAGGGGTTTGGGTGTCAACTGGGGCTGGATTCGACAAGATGCACTCAAGCTTAAGAAAGGCAGCATCAAAGCACCAGCTCATGATTTTCCCTAAAATGCTTCCATCTTTCCAACACCAAGAAGCTCACAACCTCATTGAAAGTCATTGGTGGGTTGTTTTGAATCCAAAGTTTCAGAGAACCAACAACCTGCATAGAAAATGCAAACCACCAACTAGACCACAATAGCCGGACCCCGACCCACCACCCAAATCCAAAGTTTCATTGAAAGTCATGTGTTGGTGCGGCAAGAGTATAATGAAGGTGTGGCGATGTGATTAAGGATGGAGATCGAGATTTTTTTTTATTTTTTTTATAAAGATATTAAAGGTTATTTTATGAATAATAGTGACACACTCCGACCAAAATCAAGACGTGCTGGCCGTCACGTGAGGGTGATGTTGCCATGTGCACAGTGCGGAAGTAAAAAATAATAATAAACGTACGAATAAATAAAAACCAAACTACTAAATAAACTAGTTAAAGTAACACACTAGTGTGAGACTAAGTGGGATAAACATAATCAGAGCACAGAAAGCCTAAGTGCAGTCCAGAAGAACGAATACTAAATACATAACACCCAAAGGTGATCCTACATTTGTGATGTTCTGTCAGAACCACTGTCAAGTCCTCGTGAACCACCAAAGCTGCTTCTAACTAGAACCTGGAGAGGCGCAAAACAGAAAGTGTGAGTGGGCAAAAACAAAGCTTTTCAAAATCATTTCATTATCAAAAGTTCTAACCCTCGCCGTAAAACCTATATAGTTTCCCAGAAAATAGAATATACATATATATCGAAAACATGTTCATAAATATGCCATGTCGAATGCCTCCACATAAAATGTAAGTAACCCAGGTAATGTCAATCAATGCAAGTAACATATCAGCCGGAGTCACCTAACGTGACCTGTACGGCTGAATCTAGAGCTCAAATCCCCAACTCACTAACTATACCTGCACACAAGTCGGAACCACCTAAAGTGGTTTGTACGACAGGACTGGGTGTAAATAAACACGCTCAAGTGCTACGATCACGTGAAGACTGGGCGAATAATCGCGGGTGACCTACGAGTCGGAACCACCTATAGTGGTCTGTACGACAGGACTGTGCACCTAACTTGGATCCAAGATGAGCGTGTGGTGTGGGAGGTGAACATCACGTGAAGGACTGTGCCCTACTCTGGGCGGGAGCACTAACACCGGGGGTGCAGGTTATGAGCTCTCTATGCATCTCACATAACCACTAATTCACAATCATAAACCATAAACTTACCTGACACTTACTTGTGTGTCCGCAGCACTAAACATACATATATGCAACTACTAATGCATAAATAAATAGGCAAACGCTATGCATGGCATTTAAAACATATAAACATTCCATTTCATTTTCTGGGCAAAACCACAAGTATATAGGTATATACGGAAAAACCAAAAGCCCACTCACTAATATGTGGAAGGGTTGTAACCCCCTTGCCTTGAGTGACTGCGCTCGTTCTCAGGATGGGTCTCACCTATATGCGAAACAACTATAAAATCGTCAATTTAAAGCACATAACCAAAATTAGGTAATAACTTCTCATATAATGCTCAAATGAGATATTTGGATATACCAACGTGATCTACTCAACCTCACGAACATCCCCATATTTTTAAAATAATTTTTCGAGACCCCACGTGCCGCCACGCGCCGGTGAGTGCATGAACCTACGCATCCCCCACACACGGCCACGTGCTAGTCACACTGACGACGTCAGTTAACGCCATCAGGAATATTTCGTTAAAACTTAACGAATTCCGTTAAATCTGACTGACCGCGTCAGAATATTCCGTCATCTTCCCCAACGAGTCGCCGGTCGTCGAAAACCTGGAAAAAACTTCAAACCCTTCATTCTCACTCGTTTCTTCACCAATTTCTATGAAATTTGCACTAATGGAAAGCTGGAGATGAGTAGAACAATGTTATACCTGTTTGAAACCTCAAAGATCACAGGATCTCGCTGGAAAAATTCAAGAAAAACTGGCCAACTTCAAAACTAGCTTTCTCGACGTCCAATTCCACTTAACAAACCACCCCGAGCTTCCTAAGGACCTCACTAAGCTTCCAAGAAGCTTCAAATTCCTTGAAAAACAATATTTCATGTGTGCATGAACAGTGACAAAATCGGAGGTTCCTGGTTCGACGTGAAATCGAAGGATTCCTTACCTGAAATTGGTATGGTTAAACTCGTATGATCCTCACGAACACAAAGGTACCATTTTCCACTTCGATCCATCACGTTTGCAAGGGTTTTGAGTCTCGTCCGAACAAGTGAGAATGAGAGAGAGAGTCTGCGATAGAGAGAGCACGGGAGAAGATGATGTGGGTGTAGGTGTGTGGTCCTGTAGAGTCAACCCCCTAAAAACAGTTAAACAACATCCCAAAATGACAAATACCCACCAAGGGCAAAATCGTCATTTCACACCTACGGTACGAATAATTCGGGACGGGCTGTCACAAATAGTGGGTGGGAAAATAGTATTTTAATTTTTAAATTTTTTATGGTGGGTGAAATAATAATGTGGGTGGGAAAAATAAGACAATGAGGTGGGTCTAGTAGCACTTTTTTTTTTTATTGTTATCGGAGATTAAAAATAAATTATTCTTTATTATTTATTTTATAAAAAATATTAATATTTTAATACAAATTGTCTGGCATATTTAGTTTAGGGGGGGTAGAGATGAACTTGAACAATTAATATTCACTACAAGTAGTTGCTGTTTATTTAAGGGGATTGAGTTGCCTAAGGGCTTAGCAACACTGGAACTGCTCTAACGATGTTCTTCCACCTTACATAATCATGACGCGTGGTGCTATGAGATTTATTTTAAAAATCTACTCGAAAATCTATCCACAAAAATTATACTTTCGGATAATGACATGTGTTGTGACGAGTAATGGTGTAGCCACACCAAGGGCTACGGTGAGCTGTAGCCTAGGGAGAGTTTGTGGCATATGTATATATATTTTAGTGCATAGTCTAATATAATAGAAGAAAAAAAATTGCAAGAAGAATTATTTTTTAATGAAACTAGCCCGGCGAGTATTTAGCACAACTAGAAATATAAAACTTATCATGGAAATTGTTGTCACATCCCGCCCCGGGGCGGATCACTTCCCGAGCCCGCTCCACCACCGTAGCACGATATTGTCCGCTTTGGGCTTACCATTCCCTCACGGTTTTGTTTTTGGGAACTCACGAGTAACTTCCCAGTGGGTCACCCATCATGGGATTGCTC